CGACCGTCATGCTTGTTGTTGTGATAAAATCGTAATGGTGTTGGTACGGTTTTCTGTGCGAAATTCCATCAACAATGAATTTCATGATCCATGTCTTTCTGACCTGATATACTGTGTAATATAATTATGGTGTGCGGATATCTTCTTCAAGAAAGTGAAAATGGATATTTGGAAATGTCTTTTGCATGTGTTTAGCCATTGACTAATCCACACAGGGATATATGAATGAGGAAATTAGGCAGACAAAATATCTACTCATTTATTGATTCACTCACCATTCTACTAGTCAGGCCTGCAGTCCTCATTGATATCACTACTCTATGCAAAAGAAAGTTTATTTTGTCAAACGGATCTGATAGTTGTCTTAAACAATGTTCAATCGTCATACTACACTGACATGATTGTATGTTGTTGTAAGATGAAGCTGAGTTTCAAGACTAGCATTTAGTGTAAATGAATAGGTTGTATACAGTGTTTTGTGATTGAATATGATAGAATGCATCATCTATTTGGTCAGGAGGTATATTATGGTCGGTTTGAATGTATTACTGAGACTGTAGGTATCATTACCAAGTCTTGATTTGATAATTTTGAATAAATTGAGCATTGGGTAGATTGTTATAAATAAAATATATATTTGTAATATCCCAATGAGTAGAAAAATTAGATTTTCTGACGTTTCGCGACTCAGTGTATGCCACTTCTTCAGAGAATAAATAACCAAATTAACATTAATCCAAGTTTAAATAGTACCACGGAACAATCAAAGAATATTCGGTGATCAATCAAAAACAGGTCTGAATAAATCACTGTCACGTCATTTCATTTCGGTCAAGGTGATGCATAAGCGACATGGATGTAATTTTGTGTGTATGTATGCTCTGTTAATAATGAAAACTGTGTGACCTTTATCATTACAAAGGATAGAGTTTGGTTTGTAATGTAATGGTGCGAAATTGTAAATAATATCAGACTGAGTGACTAGGATAGATGGTCCAAGTAGGCTGTATGGTAAGGCCTTCCTTTGGTTATTTATTCTCTGAAGAAGTGGCTTACACTGAGTCGCGAAACGTCAGAAAATCTAAATTTTCTACTCATTGGGATATTACAAATATATATTTTATTTGTATTACTGAGACGTTTCACAGTAATGCTCAATGTTGACCGTTTGTGAAATAATGTGTGACCAGCGAAACAGATTTTTCAGAAGAATTTGCACTGATACCCTTGTAACATAAATCGGAGATTGGACAATATCATTTTCCATTAACTGGTTGAACATTGGTTACTTTCTGAAGCAGAAAGTGATGTAAAGCATATTTTGTGAGGATGTTGTTTGACCGTCACCGTATCTGTGATCAGAAATTAAACAGTTTCTCATTTTGTTCGCCCCTTTATCGAGCAAACAACTTGTTATACTTGAAATGGAAATGGACATTTTATTATGTGTCTTCCTCTGTACATTTTGTTACACAAGGTGAGCGGGAGGTTGAAATATCTGTTGATGCAAAATGGATTAAAAGTGAAACATTAGTGGAGTATAAAGTTTCCGGTGGTATGTTTAACCATATTTTATCAGAGTTAACTATTTTCACACTTGAACGCATCACTTCTGTTTCATAAAACTGGAAATTTTATGTGTGATTTTGGTCAGTTATTAAATGACATCCAACCATCAGTTTCAACTGACGTCACACTACACTTCGATTCGCTGTTGAGTATTTAAAACAATTAAGAACACATTTTGGACTACTACGGAAGTCCTCACATCGATGAAACTTAATTAAACACAATCTCATGAAACGATGGATGAGATGGTATTAGTTAATTAGTTGATTGTGCATTGAATTGAAAGTGTCCATTGTTTTTCTCATTTGGTACATGCAATATCAAATTTTTCCGAGGTATTGAAACCGCAGAAACACTTCATGAAATTGTAATTATCTTGAAGACAATTGCATGATTCCCTAAATCTCTACCTTATCCTACTCATCCGATAAATTGAAGGTATAAACAAGTCACGTGTCCAGATTTCGATTTATCATAGTCAGTAGATATTTGTTCAGTATAAAAAATACTGACGATTTTCATAGTACGACAGTGTTTCCTTTTTCATGAATATGTACAATGAGTAACCGCATGCATTTTTCAGGTCATCATGTGTTAGACTACTGAAATAACATTTCGACAACTGAAAGAATCATTCCATAATCTAAAGTTTAGATTGACTTCAATAATCGCAATATAAAATATTGTTTACTTTACATGACATCCCATGATCCAACTCGTCGTTCAACATTCAACGTAGCTTTATTCACTTACAATATCTTGTGAAATGTGAGTGACATTGAAAGTGTACAGAATTTCTCATTGCCTAATGTGATGACAAATTCCCAGTGAATGAATTTGTCAATGAAATCCGAAATCACCATTATATCATTGAGTTATAGTTACATGTTTTGTTATTCACTTATCTTTTGTTTGATAATTTGAAATGCAATCAACTTATTCCTTTCACTGAAGATTGTCCGAAACACAAAACGGCTGAAACATGTCAAGACTCCAAAACACCGAATAGAAAGTGCATGTGGTATGAAGAAGCAAATAGGTGCATCGTCAGCACTGATAAGGATATTGATGACTCCAAAGTAAATAGTTGCCAGATTGGAGTAAGTCATTGGTAGACATTACAGGTTGTTTTTAATATTACCACAATCCACATTCTAAATCTATTTACTAGAGAGAACATTTTATTGCTACGAATAAGTAGTGATTTGTATAGTTTCCTTAGATCATAAATCAATGTATTGTATAGTTTGACGATATTTAATGAGACATGAGTACAATGCTTTGTTTCCATGTGGACATTCAACAATGAATGAAAGCATTGTTTAACACTAATGCCTGGAAACATGTTAATTTTCAAGCTCATAGAATGTGTAGTGAATCCCAATGTCCAATATGAAACCGCCTATCTGTGTGACTTGTTACAGAATATCAATGACGTCAATTTGACTGAGGAGGTGTCATCTGTCGGAAATTCTTTATCATGTTTGGATAATGAGTATAAGCTCGTAGACTCTGATTGTTGATGTTCAGAACAAGTATTTCCGATTCGTTGTTAAGAAATATGTATCCTGTATGGATTGCTTCAATGAAGTCGTCATTTTTAATTTTGTTGATTAACATTTAGATTGTGATAAGATTTGACATCCAGGGTACAAATTTCATCACACAAATATAAGTCGTCGGTTATGTGGTGGACCAAAATGTATATGAACTCAAAAATGACAATAAAGTTATGAGGTGCCGAAGCTCATGTTATAATATATCAATTATAATTTATAAACTCAAACAAAAGTTATGTGATGTTACTTAGATCGCGACAGGCTTTTGGTGTGTTCGAATTGTATTTGGTTGGATTTGTTGGATTCACTTCTGTCATCAATAATGATGATGAATTATTTGATTAATATTTGGCATTTAGTAATATTGCCATTGTTTCGTTCTTCAGAATAACTCGAACGTTAACGTTTCGACCACACCAATCGTTGTGGAACAAGCTACAAAAACTCCAGGGATAAGTGAATCTGATTTAAGAAATGAATTGGAGAGAACTGATCAACAATCTGAATTTCATTTGGTAAGTATTTGATATTTAGTAATTATTGTACTGTTTCCGTCTCTCAGAATATGACAATAGAGGCTCACGTTATATCATGTAGATAGTAGATATTTTATAGATCATTTATCATGACAACAGACAATCGAGAACGAGTGTCGTGTGTGTGTGAAGTAGTGTATTTATGAGCAGTTAGCAGCGTGTGTTGTGCTATGAGGAATACAAAAAATGTAAAAGAGTAAGTTAAGGGTCATGCACTTAACTTTTACAATCACTTGTGGTAAACATACAAACTATGAGAATTAACAAAAGAAATGCAAATAATGATGACAAAGTCTATTCACAAAATGAGTTTGTCGTGCCTATCTCCACAGTTAGTTGTAGGATAATGTGTACTTATCACACTGACTTTCAAATCGGTAGCAGATATTCTAAATCATTATTCATTGATCATATTGTGCAAATGTAAGTTATGTGAATATTTGTTGGATTCACTTCTGTCATCGATACTGATAATGAATTATTTGATTAATATTTGGTATTCAGTAACATTGCCACTGTTTCTTCAGAATAGCTCGAATGTCAACGTTTCGATCACACCAATCGTTGTGGAACAAGCTACAAAAACTCCAGGGATAAGTGAATCTGATTTAAGAAATGAATTGGAGAGAACTGATCAACAATCTGAATTTCATTTGGTAAGTATTTGATATTTCGTAATTGTTGTACTGTTTCTCCCTTTCAGAATATGACCACAGAATCGACTGAAGACATTGGACATAGGAAATCAAATCATTCCTTACACATCGTCATACCTGTAGTTATCTGTTTCTTGGTTGTGTGCAGTGGCTGTGTCATATGCCTATGGTTGTACAGGAAAAAGAAATGTATGCCATCGCTTTCATAAAAGACTTGTCGCTTGTTTTCATCATGTTAACTTTGTTGTTTTCATTTTGTAGTTTGTTAAAAACACTTTAAATTTTGTTAATCATTTCAATAAATTGCAGATTTTTTTCGTTGGACTACGTACCACTTTTATGGTTGTTCACATAGTAACTAATGTACTTTTGTGAGTGAAATTTAAACTATGGTTTGTAATTGTTATAAACTGTGGGATACTTGTTATAACGCTAGGGTTTCTGGTTATAACAGTCCTTTCACTTCTTACACGTATGTAGGACGCTAATTAACCTTACACGAATATATCTACACTAGATTCCCACCCAGTGTCTATTCTACAGGACTTCAACACAACTCAGATCAAGAACACGAGATTAGCCTGACTATAACGTCAATATATTTCCCCACCAAAATCCGACACAATCCAACAACAAGAACAGTCAATACATAATAAGGATAGAGGAATATATGTAGCATAACATAACACCTGTCATCCTATCTAATATCTGACCCAGCAAAACAACCAATCATTGTCATTCTCGCCCACACATCAGTAATGCTTATGCGATTGTTTTCATTCAATAAAAACTTGCAGTAGTTATACAAGAGTTTACAACACTCCACTAGGTCTGGTAGACACTAAATTGAACATTATCGATACGTACGTCATTAGCTGGTTTGCCTAGGATTACTGCATTCTTAAACTTACTAAATGCCGTTGCACACTCACCTCGAAATAGAGTTTCGCCACTAAGAACTACAGTCTCGTCAGAGAGACCATTCTTAGTACTTTTCACTAACTCATAGTGCTTTTCCTCGGTTTTGGATTTACAGTTGTATATATTCTAGCCTACTTTCTCCATCTCTCTGACAGAGAAGATAAACATGAAGTTGATTGTTTAATATACTGCCTGGAGTACTTCACAGATAATAATTTGGAAACAGTGTTCTCAACAGCTTATTTGAATAGATCTGAGTGGAAATTAACAACACCACCAATATTTCACCCTTGAGCTATATATACAGTGTCACAGATGTTTCCGCTACAGTGAACGATCGGATTATTCATGCATTTATACACTGTTCTGTTCCACGTTTTGTGGGAAGGTTAGTACATGAAATTTCAATTGCCCCAGTGCAATTAAGAATACTGATGGAGGTCATTCACGTGTTCTGATTCCTTTGCAGCTCTGTAAATTCACAAAACTATTGGGTCTAACATATTGTTCATACCAGTGAAATATCGTAATTAATGATAACACCAGAGGAAACGCTACTTCAAGATGAATGAATCCACAGCAGCTGCACAGTTAACTACAAACTTCAACCAAATTGATGAGTCTCATAGGATGAATGGAATTGATCAAGAGTTGTCACCAATAAATAGTGATCCAAAAATATAGTGTCTAGTTCTTTTTAATAGACATGCACGAGCACCTGAAAGTGCGGAAGTCTCTTGAGTGATGACTGCAAAACAATCTCAGAGCTTATCAGTAGTAATTTTGCGAATAGCTAAGCGTTCAAACAAGAAACCGAAAAGAAGATTGTGCATTGTAGTGCTGGATGCATCGTCATCAATGTGAGCTATAGAGTAGTCACACACACAGTAACCCAATGGCCATTCAGTGCTCGAATGTCTCTAGTGGTGGCCTGACTAATAACACCCTGTGATTCAAAGCTATGAAGATGGCATCATCTCCCTGAAGCATGTGTGGTGGAATATCTTAATCGAGCATCATATAATACTTATCCCATAATTCTCTAAGCGTTCACATCCGCCCTATCCCGTTCTCGATCTACACATTCAGCATTCTTAATCCTCTTTATTTTCTTGATACAATCACCTTGACAATACTTCTCTTATCGCTTATTATGTTCATGTGACGTCTTCTTCATTACTATCTGGATTAAAACTAATAACATAGTTATTATTATTATTGTGATCGTTATTAACTCCACCAACCAAATTCAATTCTCCTACCATATATGTATTACACATCATTCGTTTGTTTATCACATTGATTACCAGTTGACACGTCAAAATCAACATAATTCACAATGTAATTTGTGATATTCTTACATAAGCATATAATTCCAATTGCATTACTTGAGAAACCTTGTTCAAAGAACTAGCCTCAATCATTCTACTCGTCAAAACTAGACATATATAGAGTGCAAGTTAACCAAAGTCATTATACGAATCTCATGAAATGACTTGTCACGAATCCCAACTCACATAAAATAAAAACAACGACAGTTTATGTGACACAAAATATTGAGACGATCGTTAGTCACAAATACTTGCTTATGTATGTCACCCTCGTCAGGTAGCACAGATCATCAACCAGCACTATCCATCCCACTCTGTTCTGACTAATCCTATAGCAACTATCCTACAACCAATTTACATTGTGGTTAATATTGGTTAAGCCCTCTTATTATTTTACTTGACAGACAATGTTATATGAACAGTCACAATTCGAATATTTTCTTGTACCGTTATGAACACCAGATCACACGACAGACTAACTAAAATGTTGATCTCTTAAATACCACTCGATGATTCATCCGACGTTCCGTGTATATAGGTTTTGTCAGTCCATTTCTATTTTTAACATCTACACTATATTCGTGTACTATTTAATTCTTTTATAAACATGTCTTCTGAAAATGCTGTGTCAAGTATACAACAAACCCTGCCTGTGAGAGCCCTCGATTTTACTATCCCGCCTTTTAAGGTAACCGACCCGCAGCAATGGTTTATTAAACTCGAAAACTATTTTCTAGCTAACCGCAGCTAAAACGTCTTCTGGGAGACAGGAAGATAGACAGTGGGCCGTCTTATCAACTGTGGCTTCACCGACTCTCATCAAATGTACAGCAGATCCTAGTCTTTGGAGATACCAACGCCGACATAAACAATACAGTAAACTAGCCGAGTGAATATACGAAATAACCAAGCAAACAAACCCTCATTTACATAGCGCAACGGTAGATGACAGAATCAGTACTGTACAGAATGAGGTAAATGTTTTGTGCCGAAGGCTCACAGAATTAACACAGAACGGGAGGTCACAAAGATCGTCACGAGTTAGCGAGCACGACAGAAGCCGATCAGCTTCCAGAAGACTCACAGCTCCACTGATATGCTGGTATCGTCGAATGTACGGTTATAGAGCTAGAAAGTGTTTGCCACCTTATAGATTTAGCATAAAAGGGAAGCGGTCTCCACGAGTGACCACGGCGAAGGCATCAAAGAGTATAATACCTGCGAATGGCCGCCTGTTTGATATACAAAACCGGACGACAGGCGCGCGATTCTTAATTTATTCGGAGGCAGAGATCAGCGTAGCACGTCCAGTAAGAGAAGATGGGAAACATTAATATTTCACTAGTGCTGAAAGTGGCAAAGCTTAAGTATCCATTCACATCCTTATTTCGTATAGGCATTATATTTCCTATGATACTATTTTGAATGTTGAAAAGCTGTGTGCGTTTGAACAGGTAACCTTCCGCTTTACTGCGACTGTCCCACGATCTTAATAAAGACCTATTCACCACTAGTCTGGTTTCTCACATCAATAGATCGAGAGTTGCCTACAGGGCCAAAACTGGTGAGCTCTGTGTTGAACACAAATTTAACTTTATTTAATAGTGATAATAATAATTATTTTTTAACTTAATCGTAGAAGTAGACCATCCGATTATCCTCAACCAAAGTTTGGTATGTATATTTACACATTTTTTATCTTAAGGTACTTGGGTTGTAGTGATCATTTTACCTTGTTCTTATCATATTACTATATTGGTCATATACCTCATGTCAGACCAAATACAAACCCATAACCTGAAAGACTTGTCACTAGTGCAGATAGACACTGTTATGACTACGAAAGTCCGAATCCCAGAATTTGATCGTGGTGATCCTGAGTTGTGGTTCGCCCGACTAGAGAATCATTTCACGGAACACAATATCAAATCTGAAGAAATTCACCATAGAGACTTATGTTTTTCATTTATTGAACGAATATAAGTGAATTCACTTACTATACAAGAGAGCTTTTTTCTTTTCCTTTTGATTATCGTGAACGTTTAACCAACTTCTTTAAATGATCTCTTAAAGCAATTTGTTTTTGTTGAAAACTACGTTTTGCTTTACGTCGAATTTTATGTTTAACCATTTGAAATGTTTTATTTTTTAATTTTTCACGATTTGTTGTACTGGCATAGACGTTTAATCGATTCACCTAAACAAGAGAAAAACAAACAAATAAATGATATTACCAGAATTGGGGTTTGTGGAGATTGTAGTATTGTAACAAGTGAATTCATGGATCGATGTAAGACCACCACTGATAATCTGGAAGCACTGGATGGCCATTTCGTCCCAATATGGGACTTCTTAGCAGTGATACCTCATCAAAGAGACTCAAACCCAGGACATTCGGTCTCGTGCACAAACGCTTGACCTCTAGAACACTGAGCCAGCAACGAGTACGTGTGAACTTGTCACCGAACTCAAACATTAAGTCCATTCTATTTCTCCAATGACAGCATATCTTGAATCATCCAGAAACTGTTAAGGGTGAATACACAAGTTTCTCCGGACTCAAGTTCAAAAAACCGATGTTCGAAGATAATTGTTGTCAAGATCAGACACTAGAAATAATCATCACATTAAAGACTGAACAGATGTTACCGTCTACTTTCCCACGCTTAGTTAGAATCCTTCTAATACCACACATATCTTCTAACTCACAATTTGTATTTCGTACGGAAAACGAGTTAGAATGTACCGACTCGTATAATTGTCTATTTACAATATAACGTGACAATTACTTAATTTTATTAACAGACATTTGTTTTGCTCACGATAGTTAATTTTGCACGCAACCTAAAACACACTTGAGGAAAATTCTATATATGATCAGAATCCTCACTGGCGATGAGCCTTGATGTAAATATCACCTGAGGTCTTATTAAAGAGATATGCATTTGCTCATCTACATGAAAAGTGTATTGACGACAATCCGTCAGTTTCACTATTAGCCATAGACTAAAATCTTGATATATTACTAAGTAAATGGTCAAATGAATTGTTTTGTAAAACGAACTACACAATATAATAAACAAGTATAAATTAATCGATAACTGTGATGTTTGATTCCTTGAAAAAGCTTGGACCAGATTGCCAAACGAAACGATGGATTTACTTCAAATTCATTATCTGAGATTTTACAAATACATTCTTCCTTTTTAAATTAAACTAGAAAAATTTTATAATTACCGAAAGTAACATCTGGATAGCTTGTGATGCACTCTGCTAGTCCTGCATATACCAGTACGAAGTCAGGAGAACACAATGAGTACAATTAAACGTATTGTATTTGGAATTCAAACCATGCAAATGAATAATATTGCACGAAAAAATCATCACTTGTGGAAAAACTCCAGACATTCCAGAAAGGGAATCAATTATCACAAGTGCTTAGTATTCACTGAGAAACGAACCACTATATTCAGGATGAATTCTCTGCTAGACCTCAGACGATACTGACCAATGAGTCTGTTTCGAACAATGGTTTTTCGACATATGACGATTCACAATTGTTCGTTTTGCGAGATATATATGAGCCACGTCAAAGATTACATTCCCTCAACACCGAAATCCGCACTATGGGGATCAGATTTACAAAATAATGCAAGACTAGCCGCATTATCATTTAGGCAGAAAATACCATCAGAAGTAGTGGATAATCCATCAAGCATGGCAAAATACACCGTAAATATGCGTTTCAGATCCGCATTTTAATCTGTAATGGTAGTCCATGATACGTAAAGCAAGTAGTAAGTATATCTATGCTACATAATAGAATAACAGATTTTTAAGAATGATCATGTCATTTTGGATTGTGTGACTTGAAATTAGTTTATAAAGGACGAAGTGAATTTATTATTATTATTATTACCTTGGGAAGACTATATTCACACGACTTTACCATGATTACTATTGCCTGATTGCAACCAATCAATCTCACGATTGTTTACTTAAATGACTTTCAAAATTTACGAGTAGCATATCTAGGAAGTTGTTGGTTGGTAGTAGTTAACAGGAAACGCAGGGACTTAGGTTTCGTGTCAATTGGTACTCATCACTAAGGTGTACCTGTAATCCTGGGGGTAATTGATGCTCTCTAGTGGATTTGATTACGTGTCAAATGCGATCTCGAACCACTTAGACTAATGGTTGTCTAATCCATTCATATCTTAAATACGATTCATTTTGTTCATCTCAATATCATATTTAAGGATTTATTGCTTCAGAACCTAATGATAAAGTTGTTGTTCTGTTATAATTATTCTTTCATTTTGAATATTCGATGAGAATCTTTGATGATACGTCTCGTTGATTGAACGCTATATTCGGATCCTAAACGAGTTTCGTAACACCCAAGCTAGAACAACACAGCGACTTGAACATGAGAGAAAAGGCACAAATATGCGGGAAGCACTTTACTTCAAAGGTTCGTTCATGTACAGAAAATATAGGGTTTTTATAGTATTTTAAAAGTCCTTGGATTTTTTACTGAAAATTCTAGAATAGTAGCAGTGTATTAATCAGCCAATCAGAATATCTACATGTGACTTTTCATTTTTGCTATGTTACTAACATAACTTCTAATCAAACGCTGATTGAATGAAATGCTCCTTAATGTTTCATGAGCTTGTCATGTCGATTACGAGAAATTTGCAGAATCATCTCAACATTTAAACAATTAAGTACATAAAAAAGACAAACAAATTGTTACTGTAAAACATATTTCTCACCTTAAAACCATATTTTTCTCGTCCAATTCGACCTTCTTCAATTGATTCCATTCGATCAGCTTTTGTTTGATGTGGACGCTTCACTAGACGTGTAATTGCACTCATACTAACAAGATTGCCTAGACTACCATCTTTATTTTGAATACCAACACCAGTGTTTGTACCATCTTCATCATCAGTATCCACAATAAAATATGAATCTGAATTATCGATTTGATGTTTATTTCGCAATGAACTATAGGATGCAAAACGTTTCTAAATGAGAATTTGAAATAATAATAATAATAATTATTATTATTATAGTCGAAGTTATGTCAATAATGAAATAAATTCTACAAAAAGAATTGCAGTTCTAAAAAGAAACTTTTCATAAAACAACTCTGTAACATGATCCAAAACAAAGTCTTATATTACGGACTCGTTTACTGATGTTTTTGCGTTTACTCAAATTGCTATGTCTGAAGAGACTAAGAGTTCACCTAAATGTGAAAATGAAACAAAGACTCAGTGACACAATAACCAAATAAGTTAATTATTCGGATGTTTTACAGCTCCGCAAACTAGAAAGAGAAATTCAGGTTAAGAAGAAGAGGAAAAATGTATGCCACAAGCAGTCAGAAGCATTAACGACAACAATCACAACTCAAGCGTACATATAAAGCATAGATATGTCCTTGGGAAACATTACAAAATAGCATATTAAAAGAGACAACCAACTAATGACATTTAAAGTCCTCCCAAGTGGGAAATACGATATGAAGGTGAAAATGGGAGCTTTTGGTGTGAAAACGAGGAATTCAAATCTCCAGAATAAGATCACAAAAATAAGACATTTACCAAGTGAGTTCTAGGGATCTAGTATCTCCAATGCAAATGTGATGACTTACATGTGTTGATGTGTATAAAGATGCTTTTCCCTACTGATTCATCAATTTTTTTAATATATTACAATTTTTTGCATTAAGATATATTTATGTGAGATTATAATCGCTCGTTAAAAACAACATTCTTTAATCGTTCCAATATGCTGCCCGAGCAAAACTTATCTTTTAGACCAATCAGAGTTCAGAATTAATGAAATCAAAGCTGGATGTGTCTTAACCGATATGGTCTAACTGCAACCAAACATATTCAGAGATTCGCGATATAGCACGACTATCTTTCATTGTCTTCGGTGGGTGACTGCCTCACACCCGATACGGTGGAACTCCACTGGTCACTGTTTCTCACTAGAACTCCGAGAGTTGCCTCTCGAAGCTGGTCATTAGTGAGCACAAGTCCTACTCACTGCCTTCTCGCACCACGGGCGTTGTTCACCAAATTCAGAGGACGAAAACAAATGTCTGGCGCTTTGACCGGGTTGGTTGATGTGGAGGAGCCACCTAGGCGGAGTTGGAAAAGAGTGACTACAAACCAATTGTGTACATGGGCTCCAAGATTCTGAGTGAACAAATGGTGTATAAACATGTTGTTGGTCACTGACTACCATGGGACTGCACCTCCTAAAGTTGTTCCACTGCCTTGTGGATTAGACCTTTAGGTCAAAGACTTGAGGCGCGGTCCCCTAGAAAAACCACCTGCTTCGGTTCGGGCACCCAGTCAGTACTCCAACCCCCACACAAATCGCATTTACAAAGTGTGACTTATATATATGGTAACTCGTACTAATGTTTATGTGTTTAAATGTGTATAATATATAAATATAATCTATGAAACAAAAAAACATTGATGCAAACAGGATTGAACATATTTGAAATGTTCATGTTGAAAATTTTTTTTATTCTTACATTCAGTTCAACTACAAGTGACTTAGAGTAAAGACGTCTTTTTCAGTAGATTTTAGATAATTTGTTATCCACAAATTCTAATCTGCGTTTAAATCATCCGTAAAGTAAAGCAGAACGAACTGCTGAGCAATATAGTCATCCCTTAATTGATAGACGGATATCTCGCCTTCGTCATAGGTGACGTAAGTTGGCAAAAACCCAAACGAGCTTTCTGAATCCGTGTAGAGATTTTGTCAAACACCAACTCATTAGGGCTGATAAGACTTCTAAGATAAGTGGAGTTGCCGACGCGTTCGACTACTTCACTCCTTATCCTTAGTTCAAGTGTTGACTGACGCAGGCCATTCCTGAAGCAACAATTTACAAATAGAGGGAGAGAAACGCATCCCAAACACTTTGGCATTGTTGGTTAATGCTAATAAAATACTGCATTTTATCAGTCTTCACCAAACAGGACTATGTCATCTGAGTAAAAAGAAAATAGATCTGAATTGTCTATAAAAAACATTCAGCTTTGGCGCTTGTCAAATATTTAAACTCAATACGAGAAATATACGCACACAGAAAAAAGATGCTATCTCATATAACCAGCTTCTTTTTAAATGAAGTCAGATTATAAATCTAAAGGTTTGTTCACATGAACATAACGACAAATAAAATTTTCAGAGGGGGTTTTGTGGAGAATTTAGTATTTTCACTGTTGAAATCATGAGTCAATTGAAGCTAGACCACCATCGAAAACCTGGAAGCACTGCTTTAAGGCCATTTCGTCCTATTATGGGACTTCTCAGCAGTGCGCATCCACGAACCCGCTCTCGCGAGCGAGATTCGAACCCAGGACCTACAAGTCTCGAGCCGGAGCCCTTAACCGATAGACCACAGAGCCGGCATCCAACGGTGTTAATAATAAAAATAATAAAATTTTAACAGAAAATACCTGTTTTGTTTGTTGATATTTCCGCATTGCTTCAAATTCCTCTTGGGTAAATATACGTGATGTTGCTATTTCGAAAGCTTTTTCTTTTAGAACAGTTGGATCTATTTTAGTTTTCTTTGAAGGAACATTTACATTACATTCATCCATTTCAATGTCGACGTTATCTTGTTCATCATCTTCTGAAGAATTAGATAAATTTACCCATTCACCATCTGATTCATCTGTTTCACTGTCAGAACATGTTTCATCCTCGAACTCTTGGATATCAGAACACGATTCCAATGAATCATTTTCTTTGTCATTGATAAAACATGAAAATAAAATTAAACAGTAAATTCAGTTCCACTATTCTTAGTAATTATTTCATATAAGTAGCTTAAAATTGTTCTATAAAATACTTATTACAAGAGTTTACACAAAGATCTTGGTTTTATTAAGTGAATTTAGACTAATATGTAATATTTTCATAGTTGAAATCACGAGTCAATTGAAACTAGACCACCATGGAAAACCTGGAAGCACTGCTTGACGGCCGTTTCGTCCTATTATGGGACTTCTCAGCAGTGCGCATTCACGATCCCGCACCCGCGAGATTAGAACCCCACAATAGGACGAAACGGTCATCCAGTGCTTCCAAGTTTTCCATGGTGGTCTAGCTTCAATTAACTCATGATTTCAACTGTGAAAATACTGAAATATCCACAAAAACCCCTTCTGATCTATAATCTTTAATAATAGACCATGCACTTATGTAAAGACTAAACGATAGTTTCATGGATTATTAGTAATGCGTTATTGTTTTTTTTACTAAGGCTTGCCAGTATATCAAAAAATAATTAACGATTTTTCAATAGTGAGTTACCAAAATGAAAAAGATAAAACTAATTATAAAATATGCAATGGCGGTATTCATACAGTTGAAGAACATATGGAACTCAAAACAACTGTCAACCAACATTAAAGTAAGAATCTTCAATACGAACGACAAGGCAGTTATACTGTACAGAGCTGAAACTTCGAGATCTACCACAACCATCATCAAAGAAAAAACAAGTATTTATAAACAATCGTCTACACAAGATACTCAATGTCCCTCGACCGCATACCATCAGCAATAGCCTACTGTCGTAGATAATAAACCAACTTCCAACTGAACAGGAGATTAGGAAAAGATGTTGGAAGTGGATAGGACACATATTTCTGAAATCATCAAACTATATCGCGAGGCAAGTGTCAACTTGAAATCCTGAAGAAGAAGAAGAAGAGGAAGAAGAAGAAGAGGAAAGGAAATGAGGAAGACCAAGGAACCCATTGCATCGGGAATTGGAAGCAGATATCAAAGGAGTTAATAGCAACCGGAAACAACTGGAAAGGATTGTGCAGGAGTTAGGTGGAGAATGTTAAGAAACAGCCTATGCTCCTCTACGAGGGGTAATAGGCGTAAGTATGTCTGTATCTATCGTATACAAAAAAAATCAATTTAAATATTTATTGGTTCAGAATTCATACTTTCATTATTTAAGTATTTCTCTGAACAGTCCAAACTTTGGTTAGATTTTTCTGAGGATTCTTTCTTTTTATTATTTAATTTTTCTGAAGCCAGAACAACTATTTCAGCTCCAGGAATAGTTGAAGATGTAGTACATTGGCCATAATTAATTGCAACATCTTGAGGTAGATCATATTTTATTACGTCCAATTGTGATTCTGTTAGACGTCCGCATTCTTTACGTGGTAATAATTCAGGATTTATCTAACGTAAACGATTAGAAATAAAACCATAAAAAAATTTTAAATATTTAATAAAATTAGTAAATCACATGATATAAGATCTGATGAATGATTTTCAAAATCTTTCTGAAACAAAAAAGTAATAATAATAATTGAAAGTGTAAGACAATTGAAGCTAGACCACCAGGAAAAACCTGGAAGCACTGGACGGCCAACTCATCCTATTGTGGGACTCCTCAGCAGTGCGCATCCACGATCCCGCTTCGTGAGATCCGAACCCAGGATCTATCAGTCTCGCGCGAGCGCTTAACCACTAGACCACTGAACCGGCATTCGATGGTGTTTATGTCTAACTTCAACCAATCCACGAAGTTGAGCAACCGTTCACCAATTGTCTTCAGTGAGTTAATATCTCAAAACAGACGTAGTATGAACTCCATGCTTTCAACTATGAAAATACTAAATCTCCACAAAAATACCCCTTCTGATAATAATAATTATATGCTCACTAGTGACTAACTTCGAGGGGTAAATCCAGGAGTTCTAGTGAGAAGCAGTGACCAGTGGAGTTCATACCATGTCTGTTGTGAGATATTAACTCACTGAAGACAATTGGTGAACGGTCGCTCAACTTCGTGGATTGGTTGAAGTTAGACATAAACACCATCGGATGCCCGCTCAGTGGTCTATCGGTTAAGTGCTCAGGCGCGAGACCGATAGGTCCTGGGTTTGAATCTCGCGAGGCGAGGTCGTGTGTGCGCACTGCTGAGGAGTCCTACAATAGGACGAGCTGACCGTCCAGTGCTTCCAGGTTTTTCCTGGTGGTCTAGCTTCAATTGACTCACGCTCTCAACTATGAAAATACTAAATCTCCACAAAAAAACCCTTCTGATAATAATAATAAGACAATCTATCCCAAGACTTTATTTATTTATTACTTATTTGAACACAAATATTAGTACAAAGGGGCACCGAATACATATGTGCCACACAAGTCACTTGATTTGTATGTGGGCTGTAATATTGCCCAAGTGCCCAGACCGAAGCAGATAGTTTCCTTAGGGAGCCATACTCGGAGCCTTCGACCTAACGGTCTGATCCACAAGGCAGTGGAACAACGTCAGGAGATGCAGTTTCATGGTAGCCGGTGACCAACAAAAGGTTCATGCGCCATTTGTTTCCTCAGGAGACTGCAGTCCATATGCACCATTGTTTTGGAATCAGGGTTTTCCAACTCCCCCTAGGTGGGTCCTTTACATCGACCAACCCGGTCAAAACCTCAGACATTCGTTTTCGTCCTCTGAATTTGGTGAACAACACCCGTGGTGCGAGAAGGCAGTGAGTAGGACTTTCCTGTCAGTGACTGTATACGCGTGGCCATGTGAGAGCATTTCGAGGATGATGGTGTCAAATATAAACAAAAACTATCGTCCTGTCATAAATCTACATTAGATGAAACAATTGTTTTATACTAATAGGTTTTGTTACTTCATCCACATAATATATTTGAATTCCAATTAACGGCTATTGATAATCTTCCCACTGAACTCGAATCTATCCGCTAAAAACGACCAATCATTTTCAAGTAAGTTACTGATGATTTTTGTAGTTAATAGGAGACTAAACATCTACACTAAGATAGGTACATAACTAAAACTATCATTACCAATTTAACGGAGTGCAAGGAGACAAAAATCCCAATTTTTAATGATACATTGCATGTCACAAATAAGCATGGTTAGTTTTATGCAAGACGTTTCATTAATGGCTTGAGAAAAAAGCACAACACATATGTATGAATAGTTGATAGTTGACTTCAAACCATAAAAAACTAAAAAACGTCAAACAACCGATACAAGAGGGGAAAAATTGTGAATACCGTTCAAGGAATTATGGAGAAAATCTTGGCTGAAAGTAGCAATAATTTGAATTGTGAAACTAAAAGCCGACTGGAAATAGTTACCAAGTTATACAACAGTCAATCACCAATCATGTAATCAGTATGTTGCAGTGAAGTGGTGGTATATTGGTGGTTTTAAAACCTTATGCTTCTAGCCAATATGTGAGAAGTTCAAGCCCAGTTTCATACACTTTGGGTCTGAATATCCGGGTAACATATGCCCGTACTTCGTGAGTTACATTATTTTACTTTCGCCTTCTAGATATTCAACACATTAATGCAACCATCAGTTTATGAAACCAATATACCCTACTTAACGTATTTCCAAAAACAGATTGGTGAACTCAGCTTTCAACCCCGCTCTAAGTGTGAAGGATAGTGACGACACTCCTTCGCCCGAACCGAAGTAGGTGAATCGGAACCTACGACTTGATGATTGTAATTCAAAAACCTTATTTATCGGGCCATCGCTAGGACTAAAACGCCAGCAAGGACTGATCAGTTCAATACTTATTATTAAAAGCAAAGAACCTCGAACAATGACAACAGGACAACGGTAGCATGGTGATTAGAGCACTCAACTTTCAACCACCAAGTGACGGTTTCGGGTTTAAACAACTATGCAGCTTTACTAGCCCTCAAATACAGAAAAGTATGACTTAAAGCCGAGTATACATGTTTGTGCCCCGTTATCAGGCTTCCACTCCTTTTCCATCTACCATACAAATAAAATACTAATTCACAATTTCACACAAACTTACTTGCCGATAAAGTCGTATAATGGATCGTGCTGCAGCGACCACATTCTTATTTCGATATGATCGATACTGAATTAAATCAGACAATAAATCTTTGGTAACTGCATACGGGCAACGTAAACATATCTCACGTACTGAGTTTAATCCAACCGCTATTGCTTCGGATGAGGCACGTTCTGTAATAAAATTATCAGCGATTACTCGTATTAAGGGTTCCATTACCTATAGCAGAAAATATATTTGTCGTTGTGAAGAGATAAAGAAAAAATACAAAACTTCAGTAATTGTTCCTTAATAAATTGGCTTCTTTATCTATCACAAACTATACATTATATTCTACTCGTTAAGATTTCAGTTTGTTTAACCCGCTGAAGGCCCTCAAACAATGCATTTTCCCGTGTCCAATAATACTTCCTAACCACCGCCTCGTCGCCCTTTTCATTATGATAACTTTTTAGGCCATGACAGTCTGTTTTGATGAGCAATATGGACGGGTATAAGAGTAGGATGGAAGAAAGCTAAGGGTATTCATAGCAAGACGTAACAGAAGATAGTAAAAACACAGATCGGTGGTGTGAGCCATGTCAGTAAGTGTAGACTACTTGATTGAGGTCTGAGCAATAAACCTGATCAGTGTTGGCAGACCTCAGATGAAAAAGTCTAAAACCGGACTCAGTAGCATGCACGCTTCCACGCTCTGTATTCCTCCCCAAACCATGGGTTTTGAAATGATGGTATACTTTATATTCCGTAAATTCATTCCCCCAATTTCAAATTAGTTAATAAGACAATAAACAACACAGGAATTGTCAGAGTTTATCAATATAATACCGATTTAGCGATGGATGATTATGATAAGAATTGCATACTTCAAGTGGTCTTCAACACGATTATCCGCTTTCCCAACACTACATAACTTTTTCATACATAATTTTACTTATCCCTGTTGCCCGTCGTAGAGCAGCGTAGGCTGTTCCCTAACATTCTCCACCTAACTCTCTCCTGCACAATTCTTTCCAGTTGTTTCCGGTTGCTATTCACTCCTTTGATATCTACTTCCGATTCCCGATGCAATGTGTTCCTTGGTCTTCCTCATTTCCTTTCTTCTTCTTCTTCTTCTTCTTCTTCTTCAGGATTTCAAGTTGACACTTGCCTCGCGATATAGTTTGATGATTTCAGAAATATGTGTCCTATCCACTTCCAACATCTTTTCCTAATCTCCTGTTCAGTTGGAAGTTGGTTTGTTCTCTACCACAGTAGGCTATTGCTGATGGTATGCGGTCGAGGGACATTGAGTATCTTGTGTAGACGATTGTTTATAAATACTTGTTTTTTCTTTGATGATGGTTGTGGTAGATCTCGAAGTTTCAGCTCTGTACAGTATAACTGCCTTGTCGTTCGTATTGAAGATTTTTACTTTAATGTTGGTTGACAGTTGTTTTGAGTTCCATATGTTCTTCAACTGTAGGAATGCGACCCTTGCTTTTTCAATCCTTACTTTGACGTCTACATCAGATCATCCTTGTTCATTGATGATGCTGCCCATGTACGTGCAAGTCTCTACTTCTTCGAGAGCTTTTCCATTAAGTATGATTGTGTTGGTGTTCTTTATATTGTATTTGGGGATGTTGCTTGTGTATGTTCAGGCCTACTGATGCAGACGTTTCTGCTACACTGATTGTCTTGACCTGCATTTGATTGTGTGTATGGGATAGAAGCGACAGGTCATTTGTGAAGTCCAAATCATCTATTTGCATTTCAGCTATCCATAGTATTCCGTGATTCCACTTAAAGTCCATGAGATTGCATTTCGTTCTTCTTTGAAGAGCATCAGAACGACTCCTTGAGTGGAACTAGAAAAAAACTGTCAACCAACATTAAAGTAAGAATCTTCAATACGAACGACAAGGCAGTTATACTGTACAGAGCTGAAACTTCGAGATCTACCACAACCATCATCAAAGAAAAAACAAGTATTTATAAACAATCGTCTACACAAGATACTCAATGTCCCTCGACCGCATACCATCAGCAATAGCCTACTGTGGTAGAGAACAAACCAACTTCCAACTGAACAGGAGATTAGGAAAAGATGTTGGAAGTGGATAGGACACATATTTCTGAAATCATCAAACTATATCGCGAGGCAAGTGTCAACTTGAAATCCTGAAGAAGAAGAAGAAGGAGAAGAAGAAGAAGAAGAAGAAAGGAAATGAGGAAGACCAAGGAACACATTGCATCGGGAATCGGAAGTAGATATCAAAGGAGTGAATAGCAACCGGAAACAACTGGAAAGAATTGTGCAGGAGAGAGTTGGATAGAGAATGTTAGTGAATTGACTATGCTCCCATACGAGGGGTAATAGGCATAAGTATATATACATATACAGACACTGACAAGATATTGCTCTTCTAAATGTAGTGAAACGGTAGAACAAATTCTATGGAGTTACCAACACTAACAACTGAGATGGTAGCTGGATTTTTAGAATACAATTGGTTTTTAGTGTATAAAAAAATTACTAGAATAGTTAATCTGAAAATCCATAACAAATGCCTACACCTATTGCTTATGATTTCTCACTCCCGACCCTACGCATACATCAAATCCAGCCTAAAATTCTTTGATTTTACAGAAGTGATCAATACTAATTACACCAGTTGAAATCAGCAAATAAAATTTCTAACTTTAGTCAACTAATGATATGCTCTGAAACTGGTATTATTCAATGTAATTAGTGATAATTGTATCACTTTTAAGATAGTTGAACACAATGATTATTCACGATTCCTTACTTCTAACAGCTTTAAAGACATTTCACAAAAACACGATCATCATACCAATAAGTGGAATGAATGTTTGTACAATAAATTAGTAACTTAAAAAACCATATCATATTTAAACCAAAGCATATCCATATCTCAGATTTTATTTTACTGATAACTGATATATTGTAGATAATAAAACGCAATCAAGAACTTACATCAGGTGGAACTTGGTCATGGCTAGCCTGTGCTGAGAACAATAATAAATGAGTCACCTCTAAACAAACCAAAAAAGAAATAGATAAGAAATTAATTGATAGTACGGACAATAAATTTCTACCAAAGGTTAATAAGGAATTTGGCTGGAAATATATAGATCTAACTAGCATTAACCAGATAATTTTTTAGCAGGAAACTAATTTTTCACAAGTCATCGTTACTGTAAATTAGTAACCAAGTAGAAGTTTATAAATCTATCAATGATACAACTAAGCAGATGTAATGAGATTCAAACGTGAATTCCGATGAATAAGTCTAAATTCTAACAAAGAAAACGAAAAAAGCAAGAGTTAAATCTAACCCAACAAATCTGTACGTCGTTTTTTATACAAACACATCGGATAATTGTTCTACATTAGAAGGATTTTTGTTATAACAGTTACCATGAGAATATTAAACTGATGTGCAAAATGTCTTTTGAACAATATAAACATTAAACCTATAAAAGTAAATCCAGCTTAGAATGAATCAAAAATGAATGTTTGGATCTTAGAGCTACGTTTGTTTCTCGTTGATAGCTAATGATACCATACAGTTCCTCATATCAAAGTAGAAACATATTCGTACCCACGGATTCCCCCGAGTATGAACGTCTGATGTAATTATTAAACTGGTAAAAACGGATACAATTCTAACACAATTTTACATATCCCAGATATATTGGAAATAAAATTAATCACTATTTAATCATTTGTCCTCCTGTGGTAGTTAATTTAGTGAAACACAATAAATAAGTATAGAAAAACTATCTCGGAAAAGATGGATAGATTATTCATTCTCAATCCAGAAGATCAGATCGATGGGCAGAACACTTTAGGGATCAGTTCAACTGAACTTCAGCCACACTTTGGTTTCCCACGATCCCCAGTCGGCCTGAATGGAAAGTTAATGTGGGTCCTCCAACTCTTTACGAGGTTGAAAAAGCTAAAGGAAATTTGAAGGCATGGAGAGCAGCATGCCCTGACAGGTGTACCCCTGAGATTTTTAAGGATGGCAGTCCAGTACTAGCAGCGAGATTGACTGAGGTCATAGGTAGAATCAGGGAACTGGACGTCATTCCATCTGACTGGTCCCAATCACTGATTGTGCCAGTCTATAAAAAAGGACAAAACTCCTCTTGTGGCAATCACAGAGAAATCAGTTTGACTAATATAGTGTCCAAATTATTAGCTTCAATAACATTTCGACACCTAACCAAAGCTCATGAAGAGCAGACTAGAGAAAACCAGGTTGGTTTTCAACCTGGACGTGGTTGTATAGACCAGATATTCACCCTACGTCAGGTCCTAGAACATAGACATACATTCAGACGTCCCACAATAGTAGTATTTCTCGACCTTAAGGAGGAATTCGACTCTGTTGATCGTGAGGTTCTATGGCAGTGTTTGTCACTGAAAGGAGTACCAAAGAAGTACATTAACTTTATAAAGGCTCTCTACTCGAAAACAACTGGTCAAGTTAGAGCCTATGGCGAACTGTCATCAGAATGGATTACCTCAAGTGGTGTTCGTCAGGGCTGTCCACTCTCCCCATTCTTGTTTAACTTTGTCGTTGACATGCTTTTAGAGACATCACTTTCATTATCTAAATCTCCAGGAGTTGAACATTTACCGGCAGACTCACTTGTTGACTTAGAATACGCCGATGATATAGTTCTATTTGGTGAAGACGCTGACAAAATGCAGAGTCTTCTCACCACTATAAGCAACTATGCTGGCATGTTCGGGATGCGATTCTTTCCCTCGAAATACAAAATGCTACTTCAGGATTGGATTGCATCGACACCCGAACTATTGATAGGTAAAGCAGTTGAGCGTGTTGACCGATTCACTTATCTTGGGAGCCTCATCTGCCCTTGTGGTCTGGTGTGTGACGAAATCTCAGCACGGATACAAAAGGCTCGTCTAGCTTTCGTCAAATTGTGTCATTTATGGCGTAGGCGAGATATCCGTCTAGCAACCAAAGGACGAGTTTACTGCGCAGCAGTTCATTCCATCCTACTTTATGGCAGTAAAACATGACCGATAAGAGTAGACGATATTCGTAGGCTACTAGTATTCGACCGTAGGTGTCTTCGAAGCATTACTCGTATATTCTGGGACCGCCGAGTAAGTAATACAGTTGTTAGGAAACGGGTACTAGGTAAGGATGGCACATCGATTAATGAAGTAGTGAAATTTCATTAGTTGAGATGGCTGGGACACGTGCTACGTATGCCCAACCACCGACTGCCCCGACGTGTGATGTTTTATGGCGTAAGAATAGGTTGGAAGAAAGCTAGAGGCGACCAGACCAAAACGTGGCAAAAATCCATCAAGTCACTGACAAGTGGACTGAACCATGTTGGTAGGTGTAGACTAATTGGTTGGGATCTATGAGATGATAACAACCGATGATTAGAGACCTTGAATGACATAGCTCAAAATCGTTTGCAATGGCGAAGGTGCATACACTCTTTGTGTTCTACCAAATTCTAATCCCTTTTCTTTTTTCTCTTTCCAAATTTATTTTACTGGATTATAGTCCTTGAATAACATCTTTGAACCCTGATCTTTCCGATTACTGCTTATACTCTTACTACTTCTACCACTATGTGATTTGAATCGACAACTGCATCTCTATGATAATGTGGTATGGCAACTCGAATTGATGTATGTACGTACGAAGTTCTACCTTGTGACTGACTGACTGAAATAAGTATAGGTCACTCTCGTTAACTTTAAAGCCAAAAGTTTTGTATGTGAAATCTGAGGATGCTACCTGACTACTCTAAAACAAACAGCTACAGCTGGATTTGAACTAGCTTCTCATACAGTCCTTTGTTGTACTTAAATATCTCTTGATTGCAATTACTAAATAAATGTAAAACGGAAAGAAGACATCCATCTCATTTCAATCGAATGGAATTATCACAAGTGAATGTTATTGTGAATATTTGTTTATAATAGAAAGAATAGCTACACAAATATGCAGTATAAATCAATTACATGATTAATCAATTATAACCTATAAACTGCAATTTAAAATAACATGTATTAAAATTATCTCCTAACCTCGTTGTTGTGGACGTAGAAAACGCTGAATAAATGGGTAAAAATTAAGAAGAACTAATTTATTTAATCCAATCAATCTGCTTATTAGATCAAGAATTAAAAGACGAATTTCAAAGCGATCTGAGCATCGTTCCAATTTTCGAAAGAGTTTTTCAGCAAATGTTTGTGGATCATGTAGCATATTTAAGGCATGGAAATTAGTCAGTTCTGTACGTTTTTTGATTTTACGTTCTTTTTCCTTATTTACATGTTTGATTGACCGTTCAAGGCGTTTTTGTCGACCTTTTGTTTTAACACCAACACGATGTCCCAAACGTAATTGTTTTATTTTACTTTCTTCATTCTGTGATAACAAGAGAGTGAAGATATAAACTATATAGTTTAAATTGAATCATAGTTGTCAGGGTCAGTTTTTCAGTCGCTTGCGTCCTATTATTTATGAGTATTAAGATTTGTGAACGCAGTTCCTTCATACAAATATAATACTTTCTCATACAAAGACCCACCACTCACATTTATAACATGTACTATCTTTTTTATCGAATAACTTACTTTTGATACATCCTGTTGATAACTCTTATTTTACTTGCATTGACGAAAGTATATCGATATTTCATTTTTTTCCCAGATTACTAGTATTATTATTAATTATTATTTAAACACAAATATTGGTACAAAGAGACACCAAATATATATGCGCCGCACAAACCTCATTTGATTTGTGGGAGGGCTATTATACTGCCCTGGTGTCCAAACTGAAGCAAGTGGTTTTATTAGGGGGCCACACCCGAAGCCTTTGACCTAAAGATATGATCCACAAGACAGTGGACAACGTCAGGAGATGCAGTCCCATAGTAGCCGGTAACCAACGATTGAGTCATGCGCCATTAGTTCCCTCAGGATACTGGAGTCCATGTGCACCAATGGTTTGGAATCAGGGTTTTCCATCTCCCCCAGACGGATCCTCAATACCCACCAACCCGGTTAAAGCGCCGGACATTCGCTTTTCGTCCTCTCAATTTTGTAAACAACACCGCCGCCACGACAAGGCAGTGAGTAGGACTTCCCTGGCAGATGCTATATAGGCGTGGCTATGTAAGAGCATTTCGAGAGGGACAGTGGACTCTCCACTCGGCCGTACTAGGGCATTTGGGGGCCATATTACTAGTAAATTTATTAGACTATGTGCAACTGATCAGAAGCATTGAAATGAAAGATGAATTCATTTATATGCATTGAACTTGTTCTCCTTTATTAAATTAAATGTGAATATATTTATTAAATAATTTTCACAAAATCACTTGACGCTGCCGGTGCAGGTTATTTCCTTTTAGGAATTCCGTAAAAAAAATGCCAGACAAATATTTTGTGTGAGGGTTACCGATACCAATTAAGGAATAATTAGTGTGAATAAACAGTCCGACAGGGGCAATTTTTATAATCAACTAAGTCTAGTTTTAACCCCTGATATCTCATTGCAGATTATCTTATTAATAATATATTGGGCAGGGAAACCTAGCTCTACAAAACCCTAAGCGAATGAACGTAAATTAATTAAAAAGCAAAATAAGCTGGAAGTCGTTCAAATTAAGAACAACACGACTCACATCTGATTCTGAGTCACTGCTGGTCTCCATTTCGTCAAGGGCCTTCGACTTTCCCAAGAAAAATTGAATAGCAGGAACATAGACCTAGAAAAATGATTTCAGAAAGCGAAAAGTTACTTTCTTGTTGCCCATTAGACATGAATCTGCAATGACGTTGGCAGTCCGCGCATCATTCCAAACATTTTTCTTAAACAAGCACAGTAGGATTAGAACAGCCTCACGAGCAACAGTTGAACTGTTATCTTTGATCATCTTCGAAAGAAACGACAATATGACCTGCACATCATATCACAGCGGAGTAGCTAAACTTACAGCATTAGCTTTTGTTTGCTTTTGACATTTATTCATTCGTTTTATGTCACTTACCAGGAAGTGACGTAATGTTTTCCGAACCTGTTTATCTCGACATCTATATAGCTTAAATGCAATATCAACTGCTTGTGTGGCTGGAATCAAGTTTTTAGTTCGAAGTCTCATGAACGCTCTTAAAAAGCCCTGAAAGCTGTTATATTTTGGGTTGGAACTTACCATACGCATTTCAGGGTGCATACCAAATGAACGCGACAACAGTGTTTGAATAACACTGGTAGAAAAATCGGCAACATGCTCAGGATAATACCTTACAGCCTTTGTGGGTTAAAAAAGACTCGAAATGTGCTACCTGAGATAAGAACGACAAAAGTTCCTCTAGTCTACTTATATATTGAGAAGGGGCAGAAGAAAATGACTGCTTTAGTGTGCTAAAGTTTTCGAGTTGTTCCTCAAACTGAAGGAAATTATGTGTGTTTTTTTTATCTTACGTCTGTTCTGTATGATAGCGGATCCCGTGTAAGGTGGTAGCTTAGCTCTGACAACGGCATGTGCTGCATCGCGATCAGGAGCTACGTATAGTCCGAAAGTACCGCCAACTAATCCCAATTTCAATAGCAAAGATAGGGGGTCTATTTACCTTAGCTAATCTATACAATTTGAACTATCATGAAGATCCAGCGTCTCGCTGAATGTATCGACGGATCGTGCTGTTGTTATGTGTCCTGGTAAAGAACTGCAGTTACTTCCTATAAGGTGAGAGAAACGGAAAGTGAATAATTTTGTCTCGAACTTGAACTTTTCTAGAATGTCATCTGACATGATTAACACTACATGCGAGTATAAGACAATGTTCATCGATATCGACATAAGTGTGCAGTATAAGTTGCATTCGTTCTACCAGTGGATTTAGGATATATAGCAGTTAATAAGTCCCCAAAATAAATAGTTCTGTATGTCTTTGAAATTGATGCTGACATCATTAATTTGCTGGACCTACCCTAACTGAAGGAGCTCGGTCATGCATCCACACCAGATCACGAGTGGGTACTACATGCTTCGCATCCCCTGAAGCTTCTAAGCAGTTTATATCAAACACATCTCGACATACCAATAGCCTTCCAAATATATCTTCGAACCATACCATTTCTGACTTCTGATTTGAATGGGTCGGTACCTTTCGATTATAAAGGTGTTACGTGTGAAAGTGTTGTCAAACTCAGAATAGTTGTGACATCGTTGGTGGTGAGACCGGCGTGATCTGATACATAAAACACTGAACTGTGAGTTTGTGCCTTATTGTAACGATATATATTACTTTTTAAATTTTACTGTAACGTATAGTCATGTCTAAGAACTTTCTTAGAGTTGATGAAAGACATTAAATAGGAATAATATGTTTTTAAAATCTCAGCGAATAAGCTTTTTCGAGGAAAAGCTTGAACCAGATTGCCAGGCAAAACGTTGGATTTACTTCAAATTCATTCGCTGAGATAGTTATTGCTTGCTTGCTTACGCCTGTTAACCCTCGTCCAGGAGTATAGGCCGCTCGCCAGCATTCTCCATCCAACTCTGTCCTGAGCCATCCTTTCCAGTTCTTTCCAGTTGCTATTCATCCTTTTCATATCGGCTTCTATTTCCCGGTGTAGTGTGTTCTTTGGCCTTCCTCTTTTCCGCTTCCCTTCCGGATTCCAAGTTAGGGATTGCCTTGTAATGCACATTGGTGATTTCCTTAATGTGTGTCCGATCCACTTCCAACGTCTTTTCCTAATTTCCTCTTCAGCTGGAAGCTGGTTTGTCCTCTCCCATAAAACGCTGTTGCTGATAGTATCCGGCCAATGGATGTTGAGTATTTTGTGTAGATAGCTGTTGATAAATACTTGTAACTTCCTGATGATGGTCGTAGTAGTTCTCCACGTTTCAGCTCCGTACAGTAGGACTATTTCGACGTTCGTATTGAAAATTCTGACCTTGAAATTAGTTGAGAGTTGTTTTGAGTTCCATATGTTCTTCAATTGTAAAAATGCTGCCCTTGCTTTGCCAATCTTGGCCTTTACATCTGCATCAGATCCTCCTTGTTTATCAACGATGCTCCCCAGGTACGTGAATGTTTCCACCTCTTCCAGAGTTTCGCCATCAAGTGTGATTGGGTTGGTGTTCTCCATGTTGCATTTGAGAATCTTGCTTTTTCCTTTGTGAATGTGGAGGCCTATCGATGAGGAAGCTGCTGCTACATTTGCGGTCTTCGTCTGCATTTGTTCGTGTGTATGAGAGAGGAGGGCTAGGTCATCTGTCCAAATCATCTAATTGGTTCTGAGCTGTCCATTGTATTCCGTATTTCCCTTCAGATGTCGAATTCTTCATAATTCAGTCAATCACTAGAAAGAAGAGGAATGGGGAGAGTGGACAGCCCTGTGTGACTCCGGTCCTTACTGGAAATGCATCTGTCAGCTGTCCTCCATGCACCATTTTGCACTGTAGTCCATCGCATGAGTTTTGGATAATGTTGATAATCTTTTCAGAATTTGTCTGATTGCCATCTTGATTTCTTCGATCGTTGGTGGAGTGACATCTATAGGAAGGTCAGTGTGTGCTGCTTCTATGTTCGGTGGATTCAATGGAGCTGGTCTATTCTGCAGTTCCTCGAAGTATTCTGACCATCTTTTCCTCTGTTCTAGAATCCCAGTGATTGTCTTTCCTTCTTTATCCTTGACTCGTCTTTCCGGTTTGTTATATCTAACTGCCAATTTCTTCGTTCTTTCATATAGTTGTTGTAAAATCCAAACCTAAATTCCAATAGGTCTGGATGTGGCCGAATAACCGATGAATAGTTTATACACTCGTGCCCCAGTCGAAATAAAAACAAGGTATTTTGGACGACACGGTTCTACGATTCATCATATATACAAATGTACAAATTTACCTAAACGAATATTATCACCCGGTTATTCAACCAACAATTGATACCAAAATATTCAATCGAAAACACCAGAAGGTAAGCGTTATTCTATCCTTTCTGGATAGATCAAGTAAAATTCCGTCTGAGCAGCTGTTTTATAACGCAAAGTGTTTCAATATCTGGGAAAGTGCTCCAAATTGCAACCAAAGATACACGATCCCAGTCAGATCAAACCGCACAATCAAATAGCGAGCAGTCAATATGACAGACGCCAGAATAATAACAATTAAAACAAACTAGATACAGTTCAGTAAGGAACCCAATAGACCCAATAGAAAACGATAATGAAACCAAGAAAATTAAACGTTACAGTCTTAATTAGCATCAAAAATGTCAACAACATACACAAATAAAGAAAATGTAAGGAAGAAATCACAAATGTATGCATGGAGGGATTTTCACTTGCAAAATGGATCCAACAGTTGTTTCATATTCCCTTCTCTTGCAGCTTTAACCCCCGTCGTTGCTAGTTCTCCCAGGTATTTCTGCTTGTCGGCTTTAATGCTTTTCTTCACTTCCCTGTTTGCTTCTGCGTAGTCTGCTTGTGCTTTGACTTTCTCTGCTCGTGTTCGGCTGTTGTTAATTGCTAGTTTCTTGCTCTTCCTTTCTTGAATTTTGTCCAGGGTTCCCATAGAGATCCATTCCTTGTGATGATGCTTCTTAGCACCAAGAACCTCCTGGCACGTTGAAGTTAGTGCTTCTTTTATCCCTTTCCAGTTGTTCTCCAAAGTATTTTCTTGTTCTTTCAGTAGATCCTGTAGAGCCTGGAACCTGTTGTTGAGAGTTATCTTGAATTCGTGGAGCTTGTCAATATCTCGAAGGAAGGCTGTATTGAACCTTTGTAGTGCTGTCTGTCCAGTTGTCCAGTCTTTCTTTAGCTTCAGTCTCATCTTGGCCACAACCAGGTGGTGATCTGAAGCAATGTCAACTCCTCTCCGGGTTCTCACATCTTCCATTGATCTTCGGAATTTTTTGTTGATACAGATGTGATCTATCTGGTTCTCTGTGGTTTGGTCCGGCGAGATCCATGTAGCTTTGTGTATGCGTTTGTGTGGAAATATTGTGCCGCCTATAACGAATTTGTTGAATGCGCATAGATTTGAAAGTCTCTCCCCATTTTCATTTCTCTCTCTTAGTCCATGTCGTCCAATTATATCTTCATATCCAGTGTTGTCCACTCCAAATTTAGCATTGAGATCTCCCATCATTATGGTGAGGTCCTTTTGTGAGCACTTGATTGATTGCAGCCTTTCATAGAACTGATCTTTATCATCGTCGTTGCTATCATTGGTGGGTGCATAACATTGGATAACGTCCATTGTGATCTCTTGCTTCTTTGTTCTGAATGATGCTTTGATTATCCTGGGTCCATGAGATTCCCATCCCACAAGTGCATTTCGTGCTTCTTTGGACAGCATTAGAGCAACTCCTTGAGTGTGTGGAGCATTTTCCCCTTCGTGACCGGAGTACAGACACATCTCTCCCGTAACTAGCCTTTGTTGTTCAGATTGTGTCCAATGGGTTTCGCTGATTATATATCGTTATTTCGTTTTCATATTTTCGGATGTTTTTTCTTGTCTAACTTATCTTCATTACAGCGAAACAGACACCTGGCTGTTTAATATTAAGACTCCTTCGCCTCTCACCCAAAAATATAAAAGCCTGACTCTTCTACGCAGAAGCTGACTTCCACGAACGCTACGTGAAGGACCCACACGCACCATTTCTCGCAGTAATAAAGGCACCAATGCGCCATTTTGACAGGCGAGTTACACCTGGCATGTTTATGGGTGATATCTCTGAACCTTATGGCAAATTACAGAAGGCTATTCTTAGACATAGAGGCTTAATCGACCTACAAAAGTTGGACCGATTCTTCAACAACAACAAGTTGCAACACGGCTTAGCAAAAGAAATGTTACTACGTATGAAATAGGTCATTAGTCAACTGACCTTCGAGGATCTCATGTTTAAACAACCCTTATTGTCTAAGCTCCACCCACAGGTGCTAATAGTGTTTGTCTAATTTTAAAACAACAGCGTGAACGAACTGGGCGAAATTGCCGACCGAATTCCAGAAATCACCAGAACTTCCAACTCCGAGGTCTATTCAGCCAAAGAAAAACTCCAAACGACACAAAATAACCTTACAGAACTCTGTCATAATCTGACACGTTACCATCGTATTTGTCATGACCGTAGACGATCCCAAACTCCTCGAAGAAGTACGTCACGGAAACGATCTATCTCTAAACCATGAGAGATAGATAAATCTGATTAGTGCTGGTATCATAGTCGGCATGGAATATATCAAAATTGCGGAAACCCCTGAAGTCGCAGCTAGCAAACATAGCTGTCTGTTGCACAGCACTGGTGTGATGACGAAGGTTCGTTAACACTGGCTCAGAGGTCCGCGTTCTTCATGCAAATTATAAAGACCGACTGCACGATGCATTTTTCAACTTACAGGCAGCAAGTGGGAAACCGATCGTCGCATACGGTAAGCGATACGTGTATCTCAAGATGAGTTTCTGCTAACCCATTCAATGGATTTTCGTTGTTGCAGGTGATTCTATGCTAATCGTTGGCATGGACATGCTGAAACATAACAATTTACTCATCAACACACTCAAAAGGAAATTAATACATG